TATATTTCTATTTTAAAACAACGTTAATGTGTTCTTTAAATGCACCACAACTAAATGCTTAAAGGAGAACTATGAGGTGATTGCTTTTCACTCACCTCATAGTTCTAGCCGACCTGTGACAATGAGACTGTCACAGGTCAGCTCAGTAGATCGGGAGATGAACGAACACATACCGGCGTACGCTCACCTCTCGATCCTGTCACGGCTCTCTGCTGTGACAGGGGAGGGGCTGGATCCCCCTCCCCGCTCCGATCCGCCAGCGCTGACTGGCGGAACGGACGGGGGAGGGGGCGGGTACAGCTGGCTCTGCCTCTAGATAGGCAGAGCCAGCTGTCAGTCACGCAGCTGGGCAGATCCAGACATAATTGTCGGGATCCGCTTCAGCTGCCGTGTCTCAGTATACCGCGAGCTACAGCTTGCGGTATACTGAGCCTAGGGTGACGGGAGGACGCTAGTTTGTGTCCTCCCGTTACCCTAAGGAGAACTATGGGGAAAAGCCTTAACCCCATAGTTCTCCCTTAAGCATGAGTTAGCTCTTTATCTTTGTAGTAAACTTTGGAAGCAGTCCTTAATGCTGCAGTACAAAGGGGAGAAAACATTTTCAGGTCTGCCACCATGACCGGATTTCCATTTTGATTCCCAAGAAGGGGAGTGGGAGCGGATCTCACTGGCCCCCCAGCCCCCCAGCTGCCTCTGCACAAGAGGAGCTTACACTCTAATGTTCCCCCACAGTCGCACACTATTATTATACATTCATATAGCTCTGAAATATACCACAGTGCAGTACAGAGGATGCTGAGCAAGTCACATTAGTTTCTGCACAGAGGAGCTTACACTCTAATGCAGAATGGCACCGGCTGTAGGGGGACTACAGATCCCAGCAATACATTATACAGCAACGCAGAACAGTACAGGTGAAACTCGAATAATTAGAATATCGTGCAAAGTTCATTTATTTCACTAATGCAACTTAAAAGGTGAAACTAAAATATGAGATAGACTCATTACATGCAAAGCAAGATAATTCAAGCCGTGATTTGTCATCATTGTGATGATTATGGCTTACAGCTCATGAAAACCCCAAGAACCCCAAATCCACAACCTCAGAAAAGTAGAATATTACATGCAATCAAAAAAACAAGGATTGTACATAGAACAATATCGGACCTCTGAAAAGTACAAGCATGCATATGTACTCAGTACTTGGTTTGGGCCCCTTTTGCAGCACTGACTGCCATTACTTTTGCACGATATTCTAATTATTCGAGTTTCACCTGTATATGAGTTGGACTCTGGATTTTGCAACGCACTGGACTCAGGGCTTTGTAACGCACTGGACTCCGGTCTTAGTAATGCACTGGGCTCAGGGCTTAGCTGTGCTGTTCTACAGTGATGTTTTAATCACAAGACTGACTACAAAGAATTACATAATCACAAAACTGGCTAGATAGAATGACATATTCCCTTGTAGATGAGAAAGTATATCTATCATATATGTGTATGTATTTCATATGGGCATGTATTTGTTTGCCTAGAGTTCTCCTTCAAAGCGGTTCTGCCCCAGTATTGAGGGGAATTGATTGTAAGGGTGCAAAGTGAAATTAGTGCCTTTCTCTTGTATTTGATAGCTGCAGGTCAATTAGCAAAACACTGGCAGAGTTTCACTTTGGTTTGCTAATCCCTTGCCATTAAAAAGACCTCTTACAAATAATTAATAATTAAAGTGCATGTCTAGTCAAAACTTTGAATTTAGTTATGGGTAGAGTAGGGAAGGATTAAAACCTCTGTCAAGTTTTTATAGCTGGCTGTGGCCATTCTGGTTTGATTGCCATCTCTCTTTCTCATGGCGACTAGTGATGGGCTCGGGCGTGTTCGCAGCTCCACGTGCCGAGCCCTCTAGGAAGCAATCACAGGCACTGAGACATTTCCCGATCTCTGCAGCTCCGGTCCACAGTACGATCAGCCGCACGTAACTCAAGTCAATGGCACTGCAGAAATGCCTACACTGGAACGCAGGGGATTTTAGTTCCTTCGCGGCCGATCGTACTGTGGGCGGGGGGCATTTCTGCAGTGCCATTGACTTGAATGGCACTGCCATGCCCCCTCCAACCCAGAACGCAAGGAAACAATGTATATGCGATCTCTTGTGTTCCAGGAATGGGACATTGCGGTAGACGTGCGGCTGGTGGAAACAGCTAATAAATGCAACTTAGTAAAATTAAAAAATTGCGGGCGGGGGATTTTTTGCCGCAGAGGCATGCAAAGTCTCCAGGGTTGCCACCCATCCGGGATTCACCTGGACAGTCCAGTGTTCTACCAACATTTGTTATTACGTTAGAATGTGTGACCCGTCACGTGGTCACACATTTTAACGTAATCCCGCCCAGTTTTTCGGTGGTGGAATGTGTGACCACCCATTAGGTCAAGCATTACAACGCTTTGTGAGCTCTTCCAGGGCAGATCGGCATCAGAGATGGTATGTGCAGGAGAACCAATCTGCCCCGGGACAGCTCACTTCTGTCCGACTTTGTAAAATGTGAGACCTATTGCCGGTTACAGATTTCATCGCCAAAAAAACTGGGTGGGATTACGTTAAAATGTGTGACCACGTGACCGCTCACACATTCCAACCTAGTCACAAACTTTGATAGAACAACGGGTTTTGGAATCCTGTGCTCGTGTGTGAGCCCGAATCACACCCGGGCACATTATTCACACCGGACTTGTGGCTCCCTGCTGGTGCCGCCACTGTCACTTGTCGAGTCCCTCCCTCTGTTTTTCTCCTCCGCGGCAGGGACTAGGTGGGAGGAAGTGACATCAGGGAGGTCCTCCAAAATCACCATCTCCACCATGCGCTGTCATCTGGGTCCAAATAGCCGGCACCACCCCAGTCTCACGCCCCAGTCTCCACTACTAACAGGTAACCGTGTATATATCTATATTATACTGTATTAAATATCAATTGAAAAGGGGGGGGCTAGTATAGACCATAAAACGTGCCCCCATAAAAAATGCCACAAGTAACCTGTGACATCTTTTGTGGGAGCATCTTTTATGTGCCATAGTACATATCTGAACTCCAAAACAGATGTCATCAGCACCAAGATCCCATGTTACTGCAAATCTATTTTAATTGATAGTTGTCATTCAAACGACAAGCGCTTTCTGGGCTGGGCCGGGTCCCCTTCATCAGGCTCAGAAATAGCATTACATAAAAGGGCCACAACTTTTATATGGACATTACCGGCACCCGTTACTTTTGGCATATCTGGTAAGAACTGCGGCAAGGTATATGGGTACTGCTTTGTACACTTATCTACAGAATGCATATCTGGGGACCTGTGGCATACTGGTAAGTTGTGATTAACTCAAATGTCGTTTATTTACAAAATACATGCATAGTGTATACTTTACAAACAAATTGCCGTGAAGCGCTTATAAAGTATAACTCAACCTGCAAGCTTATAAATTATAAGCTTGCAGGTTGAATTATAATTTCCTCCCTCAGCTGCTCTAACGTAGCACTGCGACAGAATAAAACCCGCCTCTGACCACTTCTTAATTGTGAGTTCATTTAGTATTAAAATCTCCAGTTGTAATTCTATTGCAGACCTGTGCAAAATTATCTCAGTTGGCGGCCCAGGATTGCAGTTGCAGGGGTCTCAATCTGGGGTCTCGGGTTAGAGTGAACAGAAATGACGGGGACATTTTCATAGTTATCGCCAAACTTGATGATCATGATGTCTACATTATGTTGCACACACGAGTGTAGGGTGCTTAAACGCAAATGTCATTCAGAGTATCCTCAGTATTGGTTTGGGGGCCCATTCACACTTGTATGTTGTGGCAATGCATGCCAAAACACATGATCCCACAACGCATAGCATCACACAGACTGGAACCCTCTCCAAAGTGTGGAGAATACCCCTCTTAGACAGTTGTCACCAAAACAAGTGTCCTCATTGGAAGATTTAACCACTCTTCTGGTGACAACTGTAAAATTCTGACATTCTCTTCACTTCCTTTCCTGCTGATATAGGTCAACAGTAGTGATGGGCTCGGGCGTGTTCGCAGGTCCATGTGCCGAGCCCGCCAGGAAGCTGACAGCGTGCAGCGCCAATCACAGGTACTGAGGCATGTTCGCGGTCCACAGCTGCAGAGATCGGAAAATGGCTCAGTGCCTGTGATTGGCCCTGCGCGCTAACGGCTTCCTGGCGGGCTCGGCACGGGGCGCTTGCGAACACGCCCGAGCTCATCACTACTTATAATACATCTGTCTCAGAATCTGTTTAGCTTTGCCTTGCTGTGCCACAGATACATGTCCCCCTTTGTTGATGATATTTTGAGTGAATTATCTGGAACTGCACAAATTACATAAGAGATGTGCTAGGAAAATTATGGGAAATTGCCTTCTTTTTTCAAATTGCTTCTCATACTCCTACCAAAAGCTTTGTGGTTTGGTCACCGAAAGGGTATTTATTTCCAGACACAACACAAAAAGAACCAGCCTAAAGCTGGCCATACACCTTACAATTTATCTGCAGATTTTCTATGGTCAGATGGAAAAGGTGCAACAGATTCCTCCATCTACACTTAACTGTGTGGATGGAGTAATCTCCACCTGGGCCAATCTGTTGCACGTTTTGCATCTGACCACAGAAAATCTGCAGATAAATTGTAAGGTGTATGGGCACCTTTACACAAACCTTAGTCCTGTAAAACTCCTCCAAAAGACACATCTAAAGATTGTAAGCTAGGAATGAGTTAAATGAACCTGCCCAGCACTTGATAGCTGGCCTCTAACAACATTTAGGACACCTGGGCTCATCACAATAGCTGTCCAATCACCTTACTGATTCAGCATATAAATGGTGAGCTTTTGGCTACTGCTGGTATTGGTAACTGCTAGCAAGATGGGTTTTGTCCTTGTAGGGGTTCTTTGGCTCTGTGGCTTTGCAGCTGGAAGTTTGGATTCTTGGGATGATCCATCCCGCCTGCGCTGTGGGTATGATTACATGCAATTCTCACTTCCTTCCCTGCTGGATGATGTTGCTTTTGTGCTCTCTGTAATAGGTGAGTTAATTTTGTATTACCTGTCATTGTGTGATCATCTGTGTACTGATGGCTTTTATATCACTGTTCTGACTTCCTGGTGACTGTGGAGGTGCTATCCACTCAATACTAATGTTGACCAATGAGACATGTCCAGTTTCTTATGCATGATAACTCTAGACTTCAGTCATTACTAGCTTTTTTAAGTGCTTGTGAACTGTCCCTGTTTCAACTCTCTCCCCATTCCCCAATATGGGGTTTAATGAAGGTGGAGGTGTCCCTCCTGGTTCTTTGTCTTAATCTGGTGTGGTGCCCTGTTGGCAAGACTTGCTTTCATGCTTAACTTGGTGCCTGATGGGGAAGCTCAGTGGTTAACTGTTGCTGGAGGGCACCTCTAAAGTTAATGGAGGACTTTAAACTCCTTCCCATCTCTAATCTCAAGAACAAAAACCCTTAAATGTTCTATTGTGGAGCTGGTGAACTCATTTTATTCAGTGTGATGGTATGTTTGCTGCAGTAATGTTTGCTGCAGTAAATGTGTCTTAATGCGATTGTCAGAGGCTGCCACTGCTTAACTAAAGACTGCTAGCTCCCTGGCTGCCATGATAATGCTTTGGTGGTTCTGGGTCTGACAAAGTACTGTTAGATCAGAAGCCAGGTTTGCAGCTTATAATTGTTTTTGTTTTTAGATGTCTAATTAAATTGGCACACAACATATCTAAAGCTATAACTTGGGTGTGGAAGTATTCTGGAGGGGAAGGTTATTGCTGGGTTTGTCCTGGTGACCATTGTAAAGGGAAATCATCCAATGGGGTTCTGGTGTCAATTTCTCCACTTTGACTCTGGCATGACACCAGGGTATCTCCTAATGGAACAGACTGCTAAAAAACCTGATTGAGACTTAAACCATTCCTATTCTCTCCAAAGCTAAGTGTTGCCTTCAGGTATAATTTGTCTTCTTGGGATTTAACTAACTTTCCATTGCCACTTAAATGGGTTTGGTTGATTAGCTTGCTTGGACTGCCCTTCTGTGTAATTGGATAAGCTCCTTTTTTAAGTTTGAAAAGCGGAAGGGTAAAATGTGCTGTTCAAATGTAACCTTTAATATGGGAGCTGAAATCACCAGCCACTTAGGGTGAGCTCTGGGGCTGTCTGCCTTGTGTCTAGTTCACTATCAAGAGTCAATGACCTGAAACACCTAAAGTCTGAGCAGCCATCCTGCATGCTTGCTACAATTCTGACCTTTAGGGCTTCTTGCCAGTCCTTTTTTTGAGCTATGTTTTCTGCACACCGCTGTACATGTATTGTGTGAACTGAGTCCACATCGGAAAGCAAGTTTATGTCCTGCACCATTGATCAGTGGTGTACAGAAAAATGCAGCTCAACAGTGTAAACAAGCGCTGTCGGATCTGTAGGCCAGAGATGGTGCTAACAAAATGGGGGACCTAAAATGTTTGCTGGGTGGTGGCTTTGTGGAATCAATCTTTGTGCACCCTTATGACAAGCTTTTGATTTGGGGACTTTTATTTTCTTTAGATCCTAATGGAAAGCCTCACTACCTGCACAACAACTCTGCCTGTGGCACGTGGGTTGGACAGGATTCAGCTGGATCTATGACAGTTGGTGCTTCATTTGATGGCTGCTTTATTAAAGAAGAGGTGAGATTGCTAAATTTATTGTTTTTTTTTTTTTTTTTTTTTTTTTTCCATAATGTGCAAAGTGTCCAGTTTTAGCTACCATTTCAGTATTTTTAAGCAGTCTGCTTGTGCTGGTCCCTTCAATATGGTGATGCTAGCAACTCAAATGATCTTTCCCTTTCAGGCTGGGGAACATGTGATGACTATTAGTCTGGAAGAAATCCTCCGTAATGAGAAATCTCGCTACCGCAAAAAGGACATTAAGTGCCCAATTCTTCCAGGTGAACTTTGGCTCAAAACATGTGTAGTTCCTCCACTGGGCCTTACCCATTGGCTTGCGTGACTGGTGGCAATGGCAAAATTCCCATTAAAAGCAGGTGGTGATTGATGAATGTATTGCATGTCTGTGCTGCTTATTACATGACTACTAAATTTTAATTTTTGTAAGCTTTTGTCTGGGCCCTTGATTTGGTTACTTATAATGGTGGTTTGACTAATGGGAGAGAATAGTCAAAATTTGGACACCCCAAGAATTGACTTTGTATGGTAATCCCATCTAATCTGTTGCATTATAGCAAGTGAGCAGTTAACATGGTGGGTGCAGAAGTTTCTTACCTGGGCTGCTGTGTATAAAGCGCTGCACAAACTGTTGGCGCTATATGAATCCTGTATAATAATAATACTCAAAGCTGCTATACCTGTCTTGTTTGCTGGCAAGTCACAAGGGTTATGGGCATAAATGGTATGTGGCAGGAACAGACAAAGCCCCCCCCTTGAAAGCATGACTTTAAGAGCTACATGGCATTCCAGAGCTACAAGGAATGCAATAGGAGATGTAAACATGAAATCCGGGCAGCTAAAACTACAAAACGTATTGCCAGTTTAAGAACCACCCCAATATGTCTTAACTTATAAACTGTAAAGTTATGAAAAGAGCAGGTAGGCCCAATAAAAGATGAGAATGGGAGATTAATAAACAGGGAGAAGGCTGAGGTATTTAAATTCCCCTCTCAGTATACACTAGAAAGACCAGGTTTATTGGAGATAAGAATGTGAGTAGCTTGGCGCATATATACCACAGTGGTTGATGGTAGCTGGGGTTGAACAGACTTGGAAAAACCTAATGCAAATTGTTAGGACCAGATGACCTGCACCCTAGGGTACCTAGAAGAGCTCAGCCAGGTTATAGGGAGACCATTATTCCACACTTTCAAGGACTCCATAATGACTGGTAAGGTACAAAGTGATTTGTGTAAGGCAACGGTAGTACCAATATTCAAAGTTTCAAAATGCCAACCTGGGAACTACAGACCAGTCAGTCTATCAATAGTATGCAAAATGTTTGAGGGAATGTAAAGGACTATTTAGCAGATTTTGTTCATGGCAATGATGCAAGTGATTATCAGCATGGTTTTAGGAAGGACTGTTGTCGGACCAACCTACTAACATTCTGTGAAGAGGTGAGTAGTGATCTGATGGAGGAAGGCTGGTGGATGTTGTGTACCTGGTTTTTGACACTACCACAAATGCCTAATACACAAGCTGAAATCTATGGGCATAGATGAAATGGTGTGTACATGGATAGAGAACTGGCTACAGAAAGTGTCCAGGGTGTACATGACTTTTCAAATTGATCTAAGGTTGAGTGGTGTGCCCCAGGGTTCTGTGCTAGGGCCCCATACTGTTTAACCTGTTTAATGATATTGGGGAAGGTGTTAATAGCCATGTTTCTGTGTTTGCAGATGATGCTAAAATTGGGAGGGTAATAGACACAGGCTTAGACATTGTAAAACTACAGGAGGATCTGGATAAAATAGGGTCATAGGCAGGGGTGTATCTGCCGTGAGGCAAACAAGGCGTTTGCCTGGAGCGGCAGATTCGCTGAGGGCGGCACCGCGAGGGTTACTGACCTGGATGCAATGATGCGGACGTCGGCCTGGAGTGGACGGCGTGTGCGGGCGGCGTTGTTTTGAGGTGAGTGTGTAAGCCCGGGGGGTGCTGTCTGGTCATAGGCAACTACATGGCAGATGAGGTTTAATGTTGCAAAATGTAAAGTAATGCATTTTGGGGTTAAAAACAGGCAAGAGGAATAAAGCTTAACGGGTTCTGCAATACTAGTCAGATATGGAATAAGATTTGGGGGTCATAGTCGCCTACAGATTGAATAATGGCATGCAATGCCAAGCTGTGGTAGACAAAGCTAGCAGAGTACTGTCATGCATTAAAAAGGGAATGTGCTGTAGTGAACCAATACTTTTGCCACTTTATAGATCACTGGTTTGGCCTCATCTTGAGGATGCAGTTTAGTTTTGGTCACCAATCCACAGAAAGTATGTCTGTGAGCTGGGGAGTTCATGGAAGGGCAACTAAACTAAGGGACTGGACGACCAAAGCTATGATACAAGGTTGCTAAATTTAAACTTGTTCATGATGGAAGTGAGTCTATTAAGGGGAGACATGATTTTGATGTGTACAAAATGTTTAGTGGCAATGGCAACATCGGCAATTAACATTTTACTGCTTTCTCCCTGAAAGACTACAGACCGCCACCTAAAATTGGATACAATTTGGAACTCTTCCACAAATGGTATCAGCAGAGTATTGAATCATTCAAAAATCCTTTAGATGCCCTCTGAGACCATAACATGCAGGGGTACATGTACTCTTAACTAGACCCCACAGACTTGTGTATACGCAGACCCACAAAGGTTGAACTTGATGGACCTGTGTCCAACCTCAAATGCTAGAACTATAACTTCATACATGGAGTGGTAAATGTGCATGGAGCAGCAGTAAAGACCCTTAGTCTGGTTGAAAGCAACTACATATTAAGTACTTGGCATGTTGATTTGGAGGCAATAGTAACCTCACAGTAAAACTACTACTCACCACCAGAATTAAGAACCTAGATTCATTTATACAGATTACTGCACAAATATAGCATGCTTATACTTTTAATTTCTCTATAGCAATGGATGCTCCCCGTGGTGAAGACTGTTCTGCTATCCCAAATGCTGACCGTATTCCATGTGCCAATACAAGTGTGTCCAAAGAGCTCTGTGCAAGTGTCGGATGCTGCTACACCCAGAGTAACTCTGATAATCCCTGTTACTATGGAAACCAATGTAAGTTTGAAGCTTGCCACCCCCAACTCGTAAAACCTAAAGATGTATACTTGGCAATTTGACTGCTGATGCAACTTTGCTTTTCTAAAGCCACTTCTAAAGTGCTCAATCTCTGCTATTGGGTAGAGAAGGTGGGCAGGTAACTGTTAAGTGGTGCTTCATTCTTGAACATGACTATTGTGTCGGCACCTGCTGAAAATGCCATTACTAAATGGCTAACAAGTGTTCATTGTGT